AAACGTTTGTGTATTCCTTTTTGTGTGAACATTTGTTTTCAGTTTTCTTGTATATATAGCTAGGAATGGAATTACTGCATCTTTGATCATTTAGGTCTTTGAGTTTATTTTTGCATACAGTGTGAGGTAGGGGTCCAGCTTCATTCTTTTTTTTTTTTTTTTTTTTTTGAGTCAACGTCTCACTCTGTCACCCAGGCTGGAATACAGTGGCACAACACCACTCACAGCCACCGCAGCCTCGACCTGCTGGGCTCAGGTGATCCTTCTGCCTCAGCCTTCCGAGTAGCTGGAACTACAGGCATGTGCCAACACACCCAGCTAATTTTTCTTTATTTATTGTAGAGATGAGGTCTCACAAGTTGCCCAGGTTTGTCTCGAACCCCTGGGCTCAGGCAGTCCTCTCGCCTCCGCCTCCCAAAGTGCTGGGATTACAGGCATGAGCCACTGTACCCAGCCAGTTTCATTCTTTTGCATATAGATATTTTGCATATAGATATTTGATAGTTGCAGCACCCTTTGTTGGAAAGACCATTCTTTCCTCCATTAAATGATCTTGGAACCCTTGCTGAAAATCAATCGGCTATAAATGTTTGAGTTCATATGTGGACTCTCAGTGCTATTCAGTTAAGCTATATGTCTACCCTTATGCTGGTTACACACCATCTTGATGACTATAGCTGTGTAGTAAGTTTTGAAATTAGGACATGTGATTCCTCCAACCTTGTTGTTCTTTAGATTGTTTTCACTGTTCTGGGTCCCTTCCATTTCCTTATGAATTGTAGGATCAGCCTCTTAATTTCTTTTTTTATGTTATGTATTTTAGAGACAGGGAGTGGTACTTGTGAGGATTTGCTACATAAGCAAGTTGTGTGCAGATGAGGTTTGGGTACCATCTCCCCCTGGTAGTGGAGATGGTACCCAGTGGGTGGTTGTGTGTCCTTGATCTCCCCTCCTTCCTCCCCTCATTAGTAGAGCCCAGCATCAGTTGTTCCCACCTTTGTGCCCGTGTGCCCAATGTTTAGGGCCCGCTTATGAATAAAAGCATGCAAAATTCAGTTTTTAGTCTCTGTGATAATTCACTTCGAATGATGGTCTCCAGTTGCATCCATGTTGCTGCAAAGGACATGATTTTGTTCTTTATGGCTGTGTAGTATTCCGTTGTTTATATTTATCCAGACATTCTTTATCCAGACAACTTTCAATGGGCTTCTGGGTTGATTCCATGTTTTTGCTATTGTGAAGAGTGCTTCAGCAAACATACATGTGCAAGTGTCTTTTTGGCAGAGTAATTTATATTCCTCTGGGTATATTCCTAGAAGTGCAGCCCGTCAGTTTCTGCAAAAAACCAGTTGAGATTCTGATAGAGAGTGCATTGAATCTGTAGATCAGTTTGGGGAGTATTGCCGTTGTCACAATATTGTCTTCCTGTCCATAAATGTGGGATGGGAAAGACTTACTATTCCACTTATTTGAGTATTTAATTTCTTTCAACAGGCTTTTGTAATTTTAATGTACAAGTCTTGCACTTTTTTGTGAAATTTATTCTTGTGTTTTCTTTTTTTTATTTTCTGGGTTTATTTTTGTTTGTTTTTGAGACAAGGTCTCATTCTGTTGCCCAGGTTGGAGTGTACACTATCATAGTTCACAGTTCACTGTAGCCTCAGACTTCTGGGCTCAAGTGATCCTCCAGACTCAGCCTGCTAAAGCACTGTGATTACAGGCATGAGCCACCATGTCCAGTCCTAAGTATTTTATTCCTTTTCATGCTGTTGTCAATGAAATTGTTTTCTTAATTTTATTTTTGGATTGTTCGTTGTATACATGATAGTGTTTTTTAGTGCATACAATCTTTTTTTATATTGCTCCTGTATTTTACAAAAATTACTGAAGTTGTGTTTAGTTTTATAGTAGAAAATAGTTTTGCTTTTTCTTTTCCTAACTGGATTTTTAAAATTTCTTTTTCTTGTCTAATTGTCCTGGCTATAACCTCCAGGACAATGTTCAATAGAAATGACAGGTCAGACATCCTTATCTTGTTCCTGAGAACACTATTTTGAAGTAGGTTTTGTTTTGTTTTTGTCTTTGTTTTTTGTTTTGTTTTATATTTTTACAGACGAAGAAAACCCTGCCTCCCACTCCCATGAAAATGAGGCTCACATGAGGAAATTGAGGCTCAAAGGTGCAGTTGCCTCTGCAAGGTCACAGAGCTAGTTAAAAATGGAGCCAAAACTTAAACCCAGTTCTGACTCCAAAGCCCATACTCAATCTCCTTTACCCCCTTGACCTCTGAAGAGTGAATCAGCAACCACATCCACGTGTGAGGCTTCATTTCTCCTTTCAATGTTTCATTCATACCACACAATAATGGAGGTGGCCGCACAGAGTTAGTGTTCTCCATTTTATTGGAAGGAACACAGAAGTAAAGCGACTTGGAAGAACTGGGATTCAAACTTAACTCTCCTGACCCCAGTTTTGTGCTTTCACAGAAGAGATAGGGACATTCATTGAGTAACCAGATGTATTATATGGGTGTTTCCTCAAAGGATACAAAAAGAAATAAAACAAACTGTACGATAGTTATGAAACTAAAGTGAGCCGGGCTTGGTGGCTCAGCCTGTAATCGCACGCCTTTGGGAGGCAGAGGTGAGTGGATTGCCTGAGCCCATGGGTTCGAGACCCGCCTCATCTCTACAATAAATCAAAAAATTAGCTGGGCATGGTAGCGCGCCCCTGTAGTTCCAGCTACTTGGAAAGCTGAGGCGGAAGGATCGCCGGAGTCCAGCAGGTCGAGGCTGCGGCCTGAAGCGGCCACTGCACTCCAGTCTGGGCGACAGTGAGACTCCAACTCAAAAAAAAAAAAAGTGTAAAGAGAAGAAAATTTGATAAGATTGAAGACAAGGTGCACAGGATATGTAAGGATTGACACCGAGAAGGACACAAAAGTGAACTGACATTTTGTTTACTGAAAAAAATGTCAAAGAAACAAAATCATGTCTTTATAAGAAAGTACTTTACAGAGGATTTACGTGAACAAAATTTCTTTTTGACTCAAAGAATCTCTTCTGAAAAATACTCTGCGTTTTTACAGATAGGGTAGGTCTGCCCTAAGGCTGAGAGCTAGCTAGACAAAGGCCTCCAGTAGGGCAGCTGAGTCTTCCCTGGAAAAACCCCACCACTGGAGGAAGCTATGGTTGTGCAGACTGCTGATGGAATCACCCACTCCAACATTTCCTCAGAGTTGCTGTGAGGATTAAATAAAAATGGAAAGCCGGGCTCGGTGGTTCAGCCTGTAATCCCGCGCCTTGGGAGGCTGAGGTGAGTGGATTGCCTGAGCCTGTGGGTTCGAGACCCGCCTGGGCAACTTGGCAAGACCTCATCTCTACAATAAATCAAAAATCAGCCGGGCGTGGTAGCGCACGCCTGTAGTTCCAGCTACTTGGAAGGCTGAGGCGGAAGGATCACCAGAGCCCAGCAGGTCAAGGCTGCGGTGGCCAGGGGCAGCCACTGCACTCCAGTCGGGGTGACAGAGTGAGACTCCAACTCAAAAAAAAAAAAAAGAAAAAGCCTTATTCAGTGGTGGCTCACGCCTGTCATCCCAACACTTTGGGATGGGAAGGTCGCTTGAGCCCAGGAGTTCAAGACCAGCCTAGACAACATAGCGAGACTCCTAGTTCATTAGTTCCATTATATATATAATATATTTACATTATTATTATTATTATTATATACTAGTTCCATCTTTCTTCCCTTTAAGAGGTCCTCAAGGGACCCAGTCCCTAATCGTTCCCCTGACCCAGGACCTACAGAAATCTACTTCAATGGAAAAAAATCTCCCCCTTCTCTCATCCCTGGCCCAGCTCTTTCTAAGTAATTTGTTTTCATCTTTAACCACATAAGAGGTGTGTGAGTCTGTCTTGTTCCACCCCCAAGGAAGAATGAAACCTTTCTGATTCCTGATTCCTCCTGTGGAGAACTGGGAGCCAGAGAAGACCTGAGCTCTGGGCCCCACCTTTCTGGGAACCTCTGGGTGAATCTCCATTCTGGGCTTCAAGCATCCTATGTGGGAGGGGTCCTTGGTCAGAGAGGATAGGGGAGTTTGGCTACAGCTTCTAGTCCAAGCTATGGGAAAAAGAGACTGGAAAGGTCCTGAGGTGTGACAGGTCCCTCATGGTGGCCTCCTGCTGAGAGTAGGCATTTTGGGATTCACAGGGGTGAGAGACAGGCCTTGCCCTCTGACTAGGAGATGGAGTTCATGCTCTGCAAAAGTCAGCCCCTCAAGACAGACTGGGAATGAGCCTCCTGAGAAACAGGAGCAGAAAGCACCCTGGGAAGAAGGGAGGGTCCCCAGCAAGCAGATTCAGGGGGGAAAAAGAAAGAAAAAAAGGTGGGAGGAGACCAATAGGAAGCAGTCAGGGAAGGCTTCCTGGAGCATCCTCTTGGGTCTCCTGATGGGCGGGTAGGATTTAGAGGAGAGGGAACTGAAACAGGATAGATGCTCAGAGAGCCCCAAGGCTGTCCTGTCCCCAGGGAGCGCGGGCACCACCCTCTACTCTCCAGGGGCTGTCACCTCTGCACTCTCATCAGTCTGCATCAGCCCCCCGGCCTCCTTCCCCGGCCACACGTCCCCTCTCCACCCTGTTGCTCCTCTCACCTAGCAGACTCGGTATTACTGCAAGACCCAGCCTCAGTGCCTCCTAAGGGGACCACACTCAGCTCCCCAGGCTGGATCAGGGGTCTCTTCCCTGCAGACTCTGAGAGCGTAGCCGGGGTGGGGTAGGGGGAGGAGACGGCGCAACATCCTCCATCACAGGTAGCCTCTGCCACACGAGTCTCCCCGTGCCTCGTTGCCTGCCAGCTGGTCACCTACACTGGCCTTTGGCTTCGGGGAGGACAAGGGCTGTGTCTGACTGATCTTGGCACCCCCATCCCTGGGGGCTGGCCTCAGGGCCCTGGCCTACATGAACCACCACCCCATCCCGGGTCTCCAGGCAGGGGCACCATCACCTTGGAGGAGGGTTACCTTTTCCATCTGCCTTGTAGTCGTCAGGGAGGAGCTTGTCCTGCCGGTAGCCCAGCACGAAGGCCAGGAAGGAGAGGATGAGGGCGTCGCCGATGCTCAGAATGGCCAGCATGAAGGCCCAGCGGATGGTGCAGTGGCCCAGCGTGTACTTGCCGGTCTGCTCCCCACACATGCGCCGCACCTCGCTGGAGTCCCAGCCATCGGGGTAGACCAGGCAGCCAATCATGAGGCCTGTGGCTGAGAGAGCAAGTGAAGGGTACAGACAGCATCAGGCGGGGTGTGGCCAGCCTGCCACCTCCCACTTGCACTGCTATTGTCCCCTCCCTTCTGGTGTTGACAGCCTTGGGAGGCGCCAAGAGGCAGCTCCTACCATCCTTGCAGAGCACAGGTGAGAAAACCAAGGCTCCAAGAGCTAAAGCAATGAGCCCTTGGGACCCGGCGATCAGAGCAAAGGCAGAAAGCTGAGCTCATCAGCCCAGGGTGGCCACCACCACACCAGGTGGTTCCACCGGGCCCTCCGTCGCTTTCCTCACCTCGGACTCCACGATGTACTGCCCACCAGGCTTCACAGCCCTCCAGTATCTGCTCCCCATCCAGAGATCCCACCACTCACTCCTAGACGTACACTTCACAATTCCAGCATCTCCAAAATAAGCATAACACGTGCCGGGTCAGGGTTTGATGAGCAGCCTTTTAAAATAGTACATAGAATAATGCTGTGTCCCACAACTCAGGGACCTTATTTGGTAGATACAGGAAGGCTTTCCAGTCCCATCCCTGGCTGCTTCCTTCATGAACCTTCCACTCAAGCCAACGGACTTCCTTCTCACCTTCCCCTTGTATAGCCTAGTGCAGCTGCCTACACTTCCGAGTTTACTAATCCCATGGAATATTTTTTTAAATGTGGGCTCCTTTGCAGATAACCTATGCACACAAAATAAAATGCTGCTTCCTGGGTTAGGACTGGGCTCAGGAATCCCTGTTTTTATTTTACTTTTTTGAGTCAAAGTCTCACTCTGTCACCCAGGCTGGAGTGCCGTGGCACGCTCACAGCCACTGCAATCTCGACCTGCTGGTCTCTGGCAATCCTTCTACCTCATCCTTCCAAGTAGCTGGAACTACAGGTGTGCGTCACCACACCTGGCTAATTTTTTTATTTATTGTAGGAATGAGGTCTCACTAAGTTGCCCAGGCTGGTCTCAAACCCCTGGACTCAGACAATCCTCTCTCCTTAGACCCCCAACATGCTGGGATTACAGGCTGAGCCACCGCATGCAGCTAGGAATCCCGGTTTTGAAAAGCACTCTTCCAGGTGATTCTCTCAGTAGGCAAAGCTGGGAAACACTAGACCAACCTGCCTGGGTTTCAAGCCCAGTTATTTGCTGACTAGCTGTGTGACTCAGAGTAAGCTACTTAAACTTTCTTTGCAACCAGGCTCGGTGGCTCAACCTGTAATCCCACGCCTTTGGGAGGCTAAGGTGAGTGGATTGCCTGAGCCCACAGGTTCGAGACCCGCCTGGGCAACTTGGC